GCTCTGATCTTTATTATTTCCTTTCTTCTGGTGGTTGTGTGCTTTTTTTGCTGTTCTCTTTCTATTTGTTTGAGTTCTGTAGTTAATGTTATGATTTTGTCCCTTTCTTCTTTTTTAGTGTGTGCATCTATCGCTATAAATTGTCCTCTGAGAACTGCCTTTGCTGTGTCCCAAAGATTTTGGTATGATGTGTTTTCATTCTCATTTGGTTCTAGGAATTTTTTGATTCCATCTCTGATTTCTTCTTTACCCAGTGATTTGTAAGCAGGGTGTTATTCAGTTTTCATGTAATTGATTTTTTTTTGTTCTTTCTGTTGTTAATTTCCTCCTTGATGGCATTGTGGTCAGAGAAGATACTTTGTATTTTCTCAACGTTTTGGATCTTGTTGAGGATTGCTCTGTGGCCTAAGATGTGGTCTATTCTGGAGAACGTTCCATGTGCATTAGAAAAGAATGTGTACTTTACAGGTGTAGGGTGTGGAGTGTTCTGTATATGTCTACGAGGTCACGTTGACTGATTGTGCCCTTTAGGTCTTCCATATGTTTGTTTAGTTTCTTTATAGATGTTCTGTCTTTTACCGAGAGTGGTGTGTTAAAGTCTCCTACTATTACTGTGGAACTGTCAATTTCTCTTTTCAGTGCTATTAGAGTTTGTTTTATGTATTCTGGAGCCCTGTCATTGGGTGTGTAGATGTTTATTATGGTTATGTGTTCACGATGGATCTTCCCGTTAATCATTATATAGTGTCCTTCTTTGTCTTTTATGGTGGATTTTATTTTAAAGTCTGTTTTATCTTAGATTAATAATGCCGCTCCTGCTCTTTTTTGGTAGTTTTTTGCTTGATATATTTTTTTCCAACCTTTGATTTTTAATAAATCTATGTCTTTGTTTCTAAGGTGTGTCTCTCGTAGATAGAATGTTGATGGACCCTATTTTTTTATCCATTCTGTCACTCTCCACCTCTTAATATGTGCCTTGAGACCATTTACATTCAGTATAATTATTGATAGGTGTGAGTTTATTGCTGTAATTTTGTAGTGCTTTTTTTGTGGTGCTGACTTTTTTTGTTCCTCTTTCTCTCCTGTGCTGAATTGCTTTTGTTTGTGGATTTTTTTCCATTTCTTTTGTTTTTCTAGGTTTTGTTTTTACTGAGACTTTACGTTTTTCCTCTTTATTTTGATGAGTAGGTTTGTTCACTTTCTTTGTGTTTACTGTGAAATTTACCCTTATCTTTCTAAATTTGAAGTAGTCTGTTATTACTTGGTATCGCCTTGGCTTCCTCTCCATTAGAAGGTTCTATACCTACACTGTTTATTTCGTCTTTTATTGTTCTGATGTTGTTGTCGTTCACAGATTAATTGCTCTGATTCCCTGTTGTATTTCTTTGGTTTTCTATAGTCCTTTAGAGTTCATTTCTTAGATTAGTATCTAGGTAGTATGATTCTGGGTCCCAGATTCAGCCTGTGAGCTGATGTTGTTTGTTCTCAGATTGAAGGACTCCCTTTAATCTTGTAAGTTTGGTTTGGTTTTTATGTAGTCCCGTAATTTTTGTTCATCTGGAAATGACCTAATTTCACCATCATATTTTAGCAAGAGTTTTGCAGGATATATTATTCTTGGCTGGCAGTCTTTTTCTTTAAAGTTTTATATATGCCATCGCATTGCGTTTTTGCCTGCAGTGTTTTTGCCAAATAATCTGAGCTTAGCCTTATTGTTTCTCATCGGTATGTGACTTTTTGTTTTTCTCAAGCTGCGCTCCAGATTCTTTGTTTGTCTTCCTTTTTGGCGAATGTGATTATGATATGCCTTGGTGATTTTCTTTTGGGGTCTCTCCTGTTTGGGGTTTCATTGATTTTCTTTCATTGCCAGCTTTTCATCTTTCATTATATTGGGGAAGTTTTCTGTCAGCAGTTCTTCAGTGATCCTCTCTGTGTTTTGTGTTTTCTCCCGCTGTTCTGGAACTCTGGTCACTCGAAAATTTTTGCTTTTGATTGTATCCCACATAATTCTCAGGGTCTTTTCATTTTTTTTTTGTTCTTTTCTCTGATTTTTCCCCAGAGTTTTACCCAAGTGTTTGTCTTCAGTTTCGCTGATCCTGTCTTCTGCAATTTCAGACCAGTTCCTCATTCCTTCTATGACACTGTCCATTTCTAAAATCTTGTTGTTTATCTTTTGGATTTCTAATTGTTGTTTTTGTATGATTTCTAGTTGTGAATTTATATTGGCATTTTGTTCCTGCATTGTTTTCCTGAATTCTTCCATTTTTTTGTTTATCTTTTCCATGAATTTGTCTATTTTTTCCTCATTTATGTCTGCTTTTTGCTTTAACTCTTTGGTAGCTCTGAATATTATAGATTTGAATTCCCTATCATGTAGTTCTAGTGCCTTTTCTTCTACTGGAAAGTCATTTGGTGTTTTATTTTGAACACCTACTGGAACCATCCTGTCCTGTTTCTGTGTTTTGATATTGTCTGCTGTCTTTGGGGCATTCGGTAGTTATTTTCCTTGTTTATTGATTGTATATTTGTTTGTTTCGTCCTTTTTTTTAAATTTGGCTATGTCTGAGCAGGTGGGCTGTGTGTTCTTTGTTGTTTGCTCATCTGTTGGCATGATACTTTTCGCCTCCGTCTCCAATTGGCGGGGTCAGTCGCTCAGATATGGTACAGCAGGGCAGGTCTAGCTGAAGAGGAGTTACTGGGATGGGTTCTTTGTGGCACTTACTACAGCCATCAGGCGGGCCAGTAATCAGTGCAGGGATGTTTCCGGTAGGCCACGCCTGGACTGCTTTGTGGTGTGATGTTCAGCACACGGTACAGGTAGGTAGGATGGAGGGGAGAGACTGTGATGTGTGGAGCTAAGATGGGTATGGGAGAGAGGAGAGAGGAACGGAAGCCAAATGCATACAAGCAAACAAAAAAGAGTGCTGGCGGAGCTTCCCGTTGGAGTGGAGTGATGAGAGACTATGAAATGGAGAAAAACAAAAAGGAGAAGAAGAAAAGAAAAAAAATAAAAATTAGAAGAAAGAAGAAAAGCAAAGCTCTTAGGGATCCCTCCAGTGTGGCTGCAAGGTTTGGGGAAGTTCCTTCCAGGCCGTGAAGTACAGCCTTGCTAGAAGGGGTAGAGGTGTCACTCAGCACCAGGTATTCAGGGACAGGAAGAGACGGAAAGTATAGAGAGATGAGAAACTGAGTAATGAAGAAAGACAAAAAGAGGAAAAAGAAAACAAAATAAACAAAATAAAAAAGAACAAGAAAAACCCCCAAAGAAAAACAGAAGAAAAAAGCCCCCCAAAAAACCAAGAAAAATGAAAGGCCCTCGGGGATCCCTCTGCGCTTGTGTGCAAACTGAGGGGGTAGGTCCCAAGCCGTGCAATACTGCCAGGCAAGAACGGGCTCCCAATTCGAGAAAAGGAAACAAACAACAGTTGAAACAAAACAAAAAGCCCTGGGATCCCACCAGTGTGGCAGCATGGGCCAGAAAGCAGTTTTACATTCAAGTGGCGTTTCACAGCCTTTCAAAAAGAAGCAAAGATGGCTCGCGGAGCCAGGTATTTGATAGAAAGGAGGGAGAGGTTGTGAGAGGTAAGGAAGAAATCTAAATAAGCAGAAAAAAGCAACAGCATCAGCCAACAAATGACACTTAAGGAGCCGGCCAGTGCGGGCGGGTGGAATCCAGGCGACACCTGAGTTTAGGTGATGCTTCCCGGCCCAGAGACTGGCTACAGGAAGCAGAGCAGGCTGAGTGTGGGTGACGTAGGGGGGTGGGAATTCATATATCGCTCGTATATCACTGGTTACTGGGTGTTCTGTCTCCTGCTGGAAGCTCCTTGAAGCTGCTTTCCCATACTCCCTGTTGGCTGATCTCCGACAGGAGTCCAAGATGGCAGATCCATGCTGCATTAGGTGATAGGGGACCTTTGCATGTATCTTTCTTCGCTCTCTGTTTTTGATTGGTTTCTTATTCCATTCGGTGCTTGGCCGAGTTCTTTATGTCTTCATTTGATGCTTAGGGTTTCAGGATTGCCGTTTTCTCTGTTTGGCTTAGTTTGTCGGATCTTTGCTGTGGAGGGACGGCGTTGGTGCTTCTGCCTATAGTGCCATGTTGCTTGGAAGTCCTATTAGTTTTTTTTTTATGTTTTGTTTTGTGGCTATCATTTTTTTCATTTGTGAAAGAAGAAAAAAAAATCCAAAAACTACCACCCCATGGTCATGAAGATATTCTCCTATGTTTTCGTCTAGAACAGGTATCAGCAAACTCTTTCTGTAAAGAATCAGATAGTAAATGTTTTAGACTTCACAGACCATATTGTCCTTGTTGCAACTACTCTGCTGTTGTACTGATAAAACAGGTACAGATTTACAAAAACAGGCAGGCCCTACATCTAGAATCCTAGATGTGGAATTTGCCAACCCCTGATCTAGAATAAGACTTCAACAAATGGACACTCAAAATGAAAAGGTGTAGGGGAATTTGTCACTCAGTAATTCAGTTAACAAAGTTATTGAGTGTGTGCTATTTCCCAAACTGGGGACTAAATGGTTAATTAAATTATGGTGTATCCACTCCTTGGAATATTGAACATCATTGGAAATGATGATTTTCAAGACTAAACAACATGGGAAAATGCTTTTAAGTAGAAAATTAGGATAAAAGTTTTAAGTTTGTATCTTTTTAATAAATATGGACTAATACTGGAAGGAATATATAAATTTTTGTTAGGTAGGATAATTATGGACAATTATTTTTGTCTTTTCCGAATTGTCTATAGTGTTTTTATGTTCAAAAACAACTAAAAAAGGCATAATGGGATATGTTAAAACTATTTTTTTTTATCACCACTATGTAGTATCTAAAAAAGAAACTTTCTAAAACCGTTGTTCAATGAAGTCCTGAAGCCTTTTTACTTAATCAGTATAAAATTGACATTTTAGGAAAATGTGTCACTATTCTGTTCAAAATATATTGTCATTTCTCTTTTTAAATGTTTATATTTTAACAGTGCCCTTACATCTGCCATTTGTTATATTTACTTACCAAAAAAGAAAATGGTGAGTATTTTCATTCCAGTTGTATTATATTCATTCTGTGGAATTAGCATTTGTATTAGCCTTTATAACGTTAACTATAAGCATTAGTTACATATCAGGAATTATTTTGTGGAAATTGCTTTTTAAAAATTTTTTTTTATTCTACTTTAGGTGAAGGTTTACAGAACAAATATTTTCTCATTAAACAGTCAGTACACATATTGTTTTATGACATTGGTTAACAACCCCATGACATGTCAACACACTCCCTTCTCAGCCTTGGAGGACCCTTTTTTTTTGGTGAAAATATACATAGTCGAAGATACACCATTTCAAAAATTTCTGCATGCACAATTCAGTGAGGTTGATTACGTTCTTCCAGTTGTGCTGCTATTCTCACTTTAGATGAAGGTTTACAGAACAAAATAGTTTCTCATTAAACAGTTAGTGCACATATTTCCGTATGACATTGGTTAAGATCCCCACTACATGTCAACACTGTCCTTACTCAACCTTGGGTTCCCCATCACCAGCTTTCCCGTCCCCTTCTGCCTTCTAGTCCTTGTCCCTGGACTGCTGTGCCTCATTAGTCCCGTTTTGTTTTATGGGGCTGTCCAATACCCGGTTGAATAGTGAACCTTGGGAGTGACTTCACCACTAAGCTAAAAGGGTGTCCGGGGGCCATACTCTCTCAGGGTTTCTCCAGTCTGTCAGGCCAGTAAATCTGGTCTTTGTTTTTCTGAGTTAGAATTTTGTTCTACATCCTTTTTCCACCTCTGTCCAGGACCCTCTATTGTGATCCCGGTCATAGCCGTCAGTGTTGGTAGCTGGGCACCATCTATCTGCACTGGACTCAGTCTGGTGGAGGCTGTGGTAGCTTTGGTCCATTAGTCGTTTAGACTGATCTTTTCCTTGTATCCTGTTCTCTTCATTCTCCCTTGCTCCCGAAGTGGTGAGACCAGGGGCGTATCTTAGATGGCTGCTCACAGGTTTTTAAGACCCCAGACGCTACTCACCAGTGTAGAATGCAGAACATTGTCTTTATAAAATGTGTTATGCCAATTCTCAACCTTTTTTTTGGTGAAAATATACATAGCCAAAGATACATCATTTCAAAAATTTCTACATGCACAGTTCAGTGACACTGACTATGCTCTTCCAATTGTGCTGTTATTCTCACTTAAGATGAAGGCTTACAGAACAAAATAGTTTCTTATTTAACAGTTACTACAAATGTTGCCCTATGACAATGGTTAACAATCTCACAACACATCAACAATATCCTTACTCAATCTTGGGTTCCCTATCACCAGCCTTCCTGTCCTCCTCTGCCTTCTAGCCCTTGTCCCTGGACTGCCGTGCCTCATTAGTCCCATTTGGTTTTACGGGGCTGTCCACTCCCAGGCTGAACAGTGAACCTCGGAGGTAACTTCACCACTGAGCTAAAAGGGTGTTTGGGGGCCATACTCTCGAGGTTTCTTCAGTCTCCTTTAGGCCAGTAAAACTGGTCTTTTTATTTGTGAGTTAGAATTATGCTCTACATCCTTCTCCAGCTCTGTCCAGAACCCACTGTTGTGATCCTGGTCAGAGCAGTCAGTGGTGGTAGCTGGGCACCAGCTATCTGTACTGGACTCAGTCTGGTGGAGGCCTTGGTAGCTGTGGACAATTAGTCCTTCGGACTGATCTTTTCCTTGTATCCTGTTCTCTTCATTCTCCCTTGCTTCCGAAGGGGTGAGACCAGTGGAGTATCTTAGATGTCTGCTCATGGGCTTTTAAGACCCCAGATGCTATTCACCAAGGTAGAATGTAGAACAATGTCTTTTTAAACTGTGTTATGCCAATTGAGCTAGAAGAAATTGCTTTTTAGTACTTTTAAGAGCATCTGCTTAATGGCTTAACTGAACAGGATGTTTATATTCTTGATTTGTTGTAAAAGGAAGCTAAATGAACTACATGGTGGTTTGGTATAACCTATTGATTTTTATTCTGAACCAAATGCATAGTATCCTTTTTCTTTATCTTTTGTAGTCAAACCATTTCGTGTGAGAAAACTGCTTGATCTTCAGGCCAAGATGGTGAGTACCAAAAAGACCTAAGACTGGCCAGTGTACTATGTGCTAGGTACTGAGCTTGGCTTTGGCTATAAACTCAAATGAGTCATTACCTTCATAGAACTTACTGCCTAGGGGCTTAGTCAACAAAATAAGAAATCAAAATCAGCCTCAGGGTCAAGGAGGAGTAGTGATGTTTGAGAGAAATTTGAAAGGATGAATGGGACTTAATTGGGAAAGAAGGGAGAGAAGGACACTCCTGGCAGAGGGAGCAGCATGTGCAAAGACATGGAGGTGTCAAACGGCAGAAACTATTTTGGGAACTGGTTTGGTATGACTGGAACAATCAGGGTCAGGAAGTGGTCAGAAATGAGTTCATAGTTTTTTATGACTGGATCTAGGAAAGCATTTGAAGACATTTTCTTCTGGATACTTAAACTGCAATATACTAATCTCTGACTATTACTTGTTGTCCTTATTCTCTTGCATTATGATATCTAGTATACCTGCCAGGTAATAAAAATCTGAAGCTTTGAGTATAAAACAATAGGAAGTAGTACTGCCTATGCCTAACTGAAGACTGCATGCTACATAAAGACATTCATATTTAATGAAAAGCACAAACATACACACATTCTCGCTTCTCCAGTATGAGGCTTCCTCTTAGCCCTTTTTTGTAATGCTGTCCTTTGGTGGGAGCCCTGGTAGCACAGTGGTTAAGTGTTCAGCTGCTAACCAAAAAAGTTGGCAATTCGAATCCACCAGCCTCTCCTTGAAAACCCTATGGGGCAGTTCTGCTCTGTCCTATAGGGTCACTATGAGTCAGAATCAACTCGACGGCAATGGATTTTGGGTCCTTGGGTAATTTCTCTATTTCCATGGCTTTTAGTACTACCTGTATGCTGGTGGTGTAGGACTAAATAGATTTTGTCACAGTCTTTCTTGAGCTCACATATACTTTCACCTGGATATTCCATAGGTACTTCAAACTTTACACATCCCAAACTGAATTCATGATCTTTTTTTTCTCACTCCAATGCCTTTTCTTACATTTCCCTATCTTGTTGAAACACCTAAGCTAGAAAGCTAGGAATCATTCATGATTCTTTCTTTCTCATACCTCATACCCAGTTGGCTCTCAAATTTTTCCACTTCCATCTCCTGAAAATATCACTCAAATTCATTTTTATCTTATACCTCCCCATTGCATCTTAGTTCAGGTACTCTTTTTGCTCTTCTAGTCTTCTCCATGGCACTACCATCTTCCTCCCTCACCCTCCATATCCAGTCAGCTACCAAATCTTGTCTGTTATGCTATCTTGTCTATTACTCAAATCAGTCCCTTTTTCTTCATTCCTCCTGCCCCTACTTTAGTTCAGGGTCATCATTCTCACTTGGATTACTGCTACCACCGCAACTGATCTCTCTACCGTGTTATTCTTATGTCCTTCCAGTCTCTTCATGCTGCTGCCAATGTTATTGTCCTAAACTTCAAAACTGGTTATATTATGCCTATGTTAAAGATAAGTACCTTTGTATGGCATAGAAGGTGCTCCATAGTCTCTATTTCTTCACTTTATCGCACTCCTTATACTCTCTGGGGCCTCCCCTTTTCTCCCTTCCTTCCCATTCCTAAGGCCGGTGGTTCTCAAACTTTAGCTATGCATCAGAATTACCCAGAGGGCTTTTTTATAACACAGATTGCTCAGCCCCAGCCCCAGCATTTCTGATTCAATATCTATGAGGTGGACCTGATAATTTGCATTTTTAACATGTTCCCAGATGATGTTGATTCTGCCGATCTGGGGACCTCTCCTTGAGAACCACTGTTCTAGGTATACTGAACTTATTTATGGTTCCTTAGATATACCAGGCTGTTTGAAGCTTCTGTGCCCTTGAACACACAGATCCCCTAGGCAGAGGGAGATCCAAAACATTTTTGTACATCTTGTGGGTAAACTCCTACTTATCTTCTGAGATTGAGTTCAAGAGTTATGTCCTTTATGACTCCTTTCTTTAACTTTCAGATCTATTTAACATTCCTTCCTTTGAACCTTCACTGCACCCTATACATTTCATGGTACCTATAATGATTATTGTACTTATTTGTTTACATGTATAAGCATCTTGATGATACGACTTTGTCCTTGTATTCTTAGTAAAAATAGCTAATATTTGAGTGCTTATTGGTATGTGCTGGACATCGTGCTGTATGCTTTGTATGCATTGTCTCACAATGCTCATAACAACTTTGTGAGGTAAGTGCTGTTATTACCTGTATTTCATTGATAAAGAAACAAAGAGTCATGAACTAAAGTAACTTGCTCAAGGTTACACAGTGAATGGCACATTAATAAATACTTAATAAATAATTATTTTGCAAATAAGTATGCTCCATTTAAAGCAATTTAAATTTTTTTGAAGTAATACAAGTATATAGATTAAAAATCAAATTGTTCTATAAGGTTTAATGAAAAAACAGCAGAACCCTGCCCTGCCCTTCTTACGCCTGATTCCACTCATCATAGCCACCTCAACTCTTTTGGTGGCTTTATCTCCATGTTTATAATAACATGCTTATATTGATTTTTTCAATTGTAAATGTTATCCTATTATTTTTTTCTCATGCAGTTTTTTTATTGAGATACAGTAAAAGCTGGAACCTGCGTAAGGTGGAAACCTCTAAGAGAAGGAAAACTCAAATAGTTTCCATTAATAGAGAGCGATAGAAAAGTGCTAAGACTGCACCCTGTCAAAGGTGGAAAACTTGTGAGACCCGAAAAAACATGGCAGTCCCATTGAGTTCCAGCTCATATATGTTTCATTGTATAATTTACATAACATAAATTTCACCATTTTCAAGTATATAATTCATTGGTTTCTAGTATACTTCCAAAGTTGTATAACCATCACCACTATCCAATTCCAGAACATTTTTATCACTCCTTTAAGAAACCTGTATACATTAGCAGTCACTCCACATTCCCATCTTTCCCTTCAGCCCTGGGCAACTATTAATCTGCTTACTGTCTCTATGCATTTGCCTATTCTAGATATTTCGTATAAGTGGAATCATACAATGTTTGTCCTTTTGTGTCTGGCTTATTTCACTTAGCATAATGTTTTCAACGTTCATCCATGTCATAGCATGTATTAGAACTTCATTTCTATTTATTACTGAATAATAGTCCATTGGGGATATAAACTTGAATGAATAAAATGGATAGATACATTTTGTGTATCCATTCATCAGCTGATGGACATTTGGGTTGTTTTCCATTTTTTGGCTATTATAAATAACGCTTCTGTGGTTATTTACCTCTTCTCATTTTTTTTCTTTTGTCAGTGTAGCTAGTGGTTTGTCTATTTTATTGATCCTTTCAAAGAAGCAACTTCTGGTTTTGATTTCTTTCTATTGCTTTTCTGTTTTCCATTTCATTTATTTCTGCTCTGATCTTTATTTCCTTTCTTCTGGTAGCTTTGGTGTTCTTTTGCTCTTCCTTTTCTATTTGTTCAAGTTGTTGGTTTAAGTTATTGATTTTGGATCTTTTTTCTTTTTTAATGTAGGCATTTATTGCTATGAATATCTCTCTGAGCACGGCTTTTGCTATGTCCCAAAGGTTTTGATATGTTTCACTCCTTTGATTCTAAGTATTTCACTTGATTTCTTCTATGACCCAGTAGTTTTTTTAGTAGTGTGTTATTTAGTTTCCATGTAATTATGATTTTTTCCTTATTGTTCCTGTTGATATCTAGCTTCATACTGTTATGGTCAAAGAAGATGCTTTGTATGATTTCAGTCTTTTGAAATTTGTTCAGACTTGTTTTGTGGTCTAGCATATGATCAATTCTGAAAAATGATCCATGTGCACTGGAGAAAAATGTGTATTGTTCCGATGATGGGTGGAGTGTTCTATATATGTCAAATTGGCATATGGTTTTATTTAAGTCCTCGGTGTCCTTACTGATCTTCTTTATAGATGTTCTGTCTGGAATCGAAAGTGGTATGTTGAAGTCCTCAACTATCATTGTGGAGTTTATCTATTTCTCCTTTCATATAAGTATTTGTTTCATATATTTTGGAGCATTGATGTTAGGTGTGTATATATTTATGATTGTTTGTCTTCTTGATGAATTGACCCTTTCATTATTATGTAATGTCCTTCTTTATCTCTTGTAATAGATTTTGATTTAAAGTCTATTTTATCAGATATTCGTATGGCCAGTCCTGCTTTCTTTTGGTTGTTGGTTGCATGGAATATTTTTTTACATTCTTATATTTTCAGCCTGTTTGTGTCCTTATGTCTAAGATGTGCTTCTTGTAGGCAGCAAAAGGATAGATCATGTTTTTTTATCCATTCTGTCACTCTCTGCCTTTTGCATGGGAAGTTTAGACTATTTACATTTAAGATTATTACTGAAAATGAGGTATCTACTTCATTCATTTTGCTAATTGATTTTTTAGTGTCTTATATCACACAGAGGCTGCAACAATGGGCTCAAATATAACAATGATTGTGAAGGTGGCGCAGGACGGGGCAGTGTTTCATTCTGTTGTACATAGAGTTGCTATGGGTCGGAACTGACTCGATGGCACCTAATAACAACATATCTTCTTTGTCTTTTTATTCTCATTTTTACGTTTTTTTTTTTGTGTGTGTGTTTAGCTGCTTTTTTATAAGGAGCCTTTTTGATTTCTTCTTCTGTGTATTTTTCTAGGTGTTTTCTTAGTGGTTACCACAAATACTACGTTACATAACTTGCAATTGCAACAACATTTAACATACAAACATCAAGTAACATACAACATTAACATACTAAAACTATTCCTGTTTTGTTCCTCCCTCCTCTTTTTCTGTTGGTGACTCTCCATTGATATCATTGTACAACCTAAATCCAGTAGGTTTAATATGTACTTATTTCTTATGCGCTTGATGTTGTATTGTTTGTGGAACTTAACTATTGAGTTTATTCTTTGAAAATATCATATAGTTGATTCTTATATTTGCCCACGGTGTTGTTTT